GAAAGGAAGCGAAAGATAATGACAAATGATAAATTCAAACCAGTTCAAAATGTCCCTAAAACTTATGAAGTAAGATATTTAGAAGTCAAAGAACCATCCAAACTCTCTAAATTAGCGAGTTATTTGGGAATGAAGACAGTTGATAATTGTTCTTATTCGGGCTGTTCTTATTCAACTGATTTTGATATAAAAGTAAGCATTGAAGGAAATAGGAGGAAATGAGCAAAAAGCACAGGTGTAGCTACCTGATTACCAGGAAGTTGGGAAACTGGTTTTTGAACTTCCCACTATGAGTCAAGGTGAGATCTTTGATTACCTAATATTGATTATGCTCGGAGAGTTTGTCCTTTAATAGTTGATGATACTGTACATACAGTTAACTTATATGGTGAACATTGTGCCGAAGATAATAAATTTTGTAATTGTGCTTTGGAGTTTATTCGAAAAGCAATTAGACACCACGAACGAGGTTATGAAGTTAGGGATAATAAAAGGATTACTTCTGATATATCTTATTGGAGTAGATATACATTCACGACCGGAGCGGCTATCGGAGCAAGTTTGATAAATCCGGCTGCTGCTGTAGCTATCGGAGCGAGTGTTTACGGAGTAGGAGCAGTTGGTCAAACAATCTGCGACAGCAACCACGGAAAAGAATTTTGAAATACAATTAGTAGTATGGGATTTAATTCTGCGGGGTCAGGAATAAACAAATTTCTTGGAAAACTTACTAACAGTTCAGGAGGTTTTTGTGATTGAAGTAAAGTGCATAATGAAAATGAATTAGTCAGAAATATTAAAAATATTAATGGTGCTATAACTGAAGAAGGAATAAAACACGTAATTCATCAGACACTTGGACAGAATTATGATTCTGATTGTCTAATATGTAAATATGGTTAGTTTAAATCCGGCACCAATTAAAAAAGAAATCCGTAAACTGCAAATAGAAGTTGAAATTAAAGATAAAAAAACCAACCAAACTACTAAACTAACCAAAGAGGAAGAAGTAGAATTGGAATATACAGTTCATAGCACCACTTTTGATGTAGGTCTGAGAAGATTTTCCGGAAGAGGAAAAAAAACAATTCAAGTTGATAAAGATAGTAAGAAATATAATCTACTTCTCGAAGGCGAAGTAAAAAAAGGTTGATTTAAAGACAATCCGCAGGCAATAACTATTAAGCCAATGTCGGATGATTTTGAAATTATAAGCCAAAAAGTAATTTTTCCTCAATGAAGGGCAAGAGGGTTTATAGCAATTGGAATTACTTTTTTGCTTTTAGTAGGGGGAATTATTGGTTTTATTTTTTGGAGAAAGTCTAAAAAAAGAAAATAAAATTGAGACTAGTGGTGTCAAAACTTATTCTCTAATCTCTAGTTATTTTAGTGAAAATTTATCCAACAAGCCAGTTCTCCCCCACAGGGAAATACTTAATTTTAGAAAATTTTTGCTCATTATTTTACGCTTTAGCAGGATATTTTTTTAAATCCCCGGCGGGGGAAAAAGTAAAATAGCAAATTTTATTCATTTTTATTATAAACATAAACTTTCCCAAGCGGGGAAAAAGATAAGTTTTGACGGATTTTTTTCTTGTTGGTATTTATCCTGCTCATCGGCACCTTGCTAAAAAATTATCAATATGAATAATCAACAAATAATCAATTATATTAAAATCAGAGAAGCTTGAAGAGAAACTTTAAGAGCCAAGTCTAGTGCTTTATCTTCCATTATCAATGGTTTAATTAAGTTTGGAACTTTTTTGGTTTATTGAGCCATTGAGAAGTTTCTTCTAGATTATGACAAAATTTATCAGCAATACCCTAATTTTAAATATGTTTTTTACTTATCGTTAGCTTTTGGTTTATGAGGAATATTAGATAGTTTAGTTGGATTGTATCAATATTTTCAAGCCAGTAAACAAGCCGAGCAATTGAAACAACAAGTTGAGCAATTGGAAAAGGAATTAATTTAAATCAAAAAGTAATTCTATGTACTCAAAATAGTCTTACGATGAAGTTTTCGGTGAAAATTGATTACATAGTTATGAACCTCTACTTGTAAATTAGTAAGAAAATTTTTAACGATTCCCCGTGGGGGAAAAACTAATTGTTGCATTTTTGTGCTTGGTGATTTACTAGTAACAATTTTTTCAGTTTGGTGTTTTTCATTTTTAACTAGACCAATCACAGGAGTTTTTAAATTTAAATTTTGAAAAACCTTTAATACGGCTTTGACTTGTCCCTTTCCTCCGTCTACAATTAATAAATGGGGTAAAATTTGACGCTGCCGATAGTGCTTATAACAAGCCTCGGTTATTCAATTTAAATCTCCCTTTGCTTGACTAGCAGTTAATCGATAGATCTTGGACTTTTTTTTATCGATTTCTCCATTAATACAAGTTAAAAAACCAGCCACAATGTCCTGTTGGAATAGATTAGAAATGTCCAAAACTTCAATATAATAAGGAGTAGAGATTTGTAATAATTTGCCTAGTTCTTCTAGCAATTGGAGTTTATCACTTTTTTGGAAATTGTCAAGCTGGTTTTTTTGCCATAAATGCTGAGCATTTTGTTGAGCAATATCTAAAATTTTTCTTTTTTTCCCCCGCCGGGGAATTTGACAAGTAAAACCTAATTCCTCAGTTAGTAATTCTTGATCCCCGATTTCTTGCGGTAAATATAACACTTTTGGAGCAAGATTTTTTTGATAAAATTGATAAAGATAAGACTGCAATAATTCTTTTTCACTAACCAGACTTTCCTGAATTTTAAAAATTCGGGCATCATGAGCGGTCAATTTACCATAACGATAAAGCAATAAAAAACAAGCCAATTGATTATTTTGCGAATAAAAACCTAAAAAATCATAATTTTGATGGTCGGGAAATTCTACATTTTGCTCACTAACAAAAAAATTAAGGTTGTCTAATATTTTTTTTTCCTTTTTGGCTAGTTCAAATTCTTGCCGAGCAATACTTTTTTGCAAAGCCGCTTGCAGTTTTTTTTTAACTTGGTGGGTTTTGCCCTGAAAAAAATCAACAATTTTTTGCTTAGTGGTTTGATAATATCTTTCTTCAACTTCTTTAAAACAATGACCAGAACATTGCCCCAAAGAATAATCTAAACAGGGTTGGCCTAAATTACCTTTACACTTTGCTAAAGGGAATACTTTTTCTAAAATTTGCAAAATTTCTCGGGCTTTGGTTCCGTCGGGAAAAGGCCCAAAACAAAGATCTTTTTGGCGCGGATTAATCTTTTTGGTTAATAAATAACGAGGATTAGTTTCAGCCGTTATTTTTAAGTAAGGATAAGTAGAGTCATCCCGCAAAAGCACATTAAAACGAGGTTGGTATTTTTTAATTAGATTTTGTTCTAAAATTAAGGCTTCTTTAACATTATTAGTTAAAATTATTTCTCAATCTTTAATTAAGCCTAAATATTTGTTGGGTTTTTCTTTGAAATGCTGGGCAATTCTTTGTCTTAAATTTTTAGCTTTGCCAATGTAAAGAATATTTTTTTGGTGGTCTTTCAGTAAATAACAACCAGTTTGAGGGGGGATTTGGGAAAATTGAGGGGCGAGATGGTTCATAAATTCTTTAACATTTGTTAAATTGGTTGAGAGCAAAGGACTTATTTTTTATTTTTTAACAAATTCCGAAAAAGATTACCAGTAAAAGAAACTTTGCCCAAGCTTTGCATTCTTTTTTTGCCTTTTTTTTGTTTTTGCCAAAGTTTCATTTTTCTTGTCCGATCTCCGCCATATAAATTGCCTGTTACATTTTTTTGCAAAGCGGGAAGAGTTTCTCGGGCAATAACTTTGTTTCCAATGCAAGCTTGAATAGGGATCACAAAATTTTGGCGATTGAGGGTTTGCTTTAAATTCAAGCAAATTTCTCGACTTCTAGCTTCGGCAAATTGGCGATGAACTAAAAATGATAAATCGGGAATTAATTGCTGGTTGAGTAAAATGTCTACTCGCATAATTTTTCCCGCCCGGAAACCAATAAATTGATAATCAAAAGAGGCAAATCCATGCGATAAGGACTTCAATTGATCCGTAAAATCAATAATAAATTCGGCAAAGGGTAATTCATAGGTTATTTGCCATCAAATATCAGTTTTTATTTGGGCATTTTGATAAATTCCTCGCCGGCTTTGGCACAATTCTAGAATGGCTCCACAATAATCCTGGGGAGTGATAATGGTTAAACTAATAAATAATTCTTGAACTTCTTTAATTTGGTTTAATTCCGGCATTTTTTGGGGATTAGCAGTTTCAATCTTCTGCCCATTATTTAAAATTAGCCGATAATTAACCGTGGGATCAGTAAGAATTAATTCCAAATCATACTCTTGTTTAATCCGTTCACAAATGATTTCCCGATGCAACAGCCCTAAAAAGCCGCAACAATAACCAGGTCCTAAAATATTTGATTCAATACTTTCCAAAGTCAAGGAACTATCTTGTAACTGCAATTCCAACAAAGCTTTTTTAAACTCATTGAATTTCAAACTATCATTCGGATAAAGATTAGAATAAATATTGGGTTTTAATTTTTGATAACCCGGCAAAGGAATTGGACTTTCCTGGCTAGCGTCAAAAACAGTATCCCCGACTTGGGCGTCTTTAATGTCTCGAATATTGGCGGTAAATCAGCCAATTTCTCCGGTCACTAAACAATTTTTTTCTACCTCGGCGGGAGTTTTTACTCCAAGTTTTTCCACCTGATAGATTTTTTGATGGCGGTAAAATTTAATTTTTTGCTTGATTTTTAATTCCCCTCTAAAAACTCGAATGAAAACAATTACTCCTCGATACTGGTCATAAAGAAGGTCAAAAATCAGGGCTTTTAGTGGCTCTGATTCCCCGCCGGGGGAAGGAAGATTATTTTCTTTTTTCATTAATTTTAGTTTTTCCCGGCAGGGAAATTACAATTTTGGCTTCTAGTTCTAATTGAGTAATTATTTTCCTTATATTTACCATAATAATTTTTTTAGGATATTTTTTTTGAATGAAATAAATTAATGATTCTTTCCCCGGCGGGAAAAATGATAATTTGACTAAAAATTTAAATATGTCTTGGCTGATTAGTTTGGAGGGAATTGATGGCAGCGGAAAGACAACTCTGATTAAGAACCTTAAAAGAAAAACCGAATTTGAATTAATAACTCACAGTTGACGAGACACGGAGTTAGGCAAAAAAATATGGAATTTATTAGATGAAGCACGTGAAAAAAAAGAAAACAATTTACCTAGTAATTGAAGTTATATATTTCTCATTTTGGTGGCCTTTGATGAATTGGTTAAAAAAATAATTAAACCTAATTTACAAGAAAACGAAATAGTTATTATTGACCGATATTTAGATAGCACTTTTGTTTACCAAGGATTAGAAGGAAACATAAAAATTGATACTATTCAAGAAATCGCACAGAAAACCATTAATTTACCTTTTCCTGATATTACTTTCATTTTAGATATTGATCCTCAGAAAGCGCAAGAAAGACTAAACAAAAGAAAAGTAGAAACTGGAGAATATACTAACTGGGATAATTTGAAATTAGAATTTCACCAGAGGATAAGGAATAATTATCTTAAACTGAAAAAACTTTTCCCGGAGAGAATTTATATTATTGATGCCAGTAAAAGTGAAAATGAAATAGTTGAAGAAGTTTGAGAAGTAATTAAACAAGTGCATTCCCCTGATGGGGAATTACCGAAATTTGTTCGGGCGATTATTCATAATGAAAAAGGAGAAATATTACTCGTTAAAGATAAAAAATGAGGTTGAAATCTTCCTGGGGGAAAGATAGAGAAAAATGAAACCGCTGAAGAGGCCGCTAAAAGGGAAGTTTTCGAAGAAACAAATTTAGTGCTAGAAGATTATGAAAAGATTAATGAAAAAAATGTCTTTTACGCTAATTTACCAAAAGGAAATCAGCACTGAAAAGGTTATTTTTATCAGGCTAAAAAATATTCTGGGGAAATACTAAATAAAGGAGAAGTTTTGGATATTAAATTTGTAGATATAAACTCTTCTCCAGAAATCAGCGACAATCAACACTCTTGGAAATTTTATTTGGAAAAAATTAGAAATCATGGATAAAAGACCATTGTTAATCAGCATTGAAGGAATTGACGGCAGTGGTAAAACTAGCCTTATTGAAAGTTTAAAACAAAAGATCCCTAATTCTTTCGCTACTCAATCACCCCGTGGCACTGAGTTAGGAAAAAAAGTTTGAGATTTGGTTACAGAAAATTTGAAAAGTAGAAAATTGATTACTAATGTTTGGACTGAATTTTTTCTTTTTACTGCTAATCATAACGAACACGTATTAACTGTAATTAAGCCTAATTTGAAAGCTGGTAGAACGGTTTTAATCGATCGCTACATTGATAGCACTTTTGTCTATCAAGGAATCAGAGGTAAATTGCCTATTGATAAACTAGTTGAAGTTTGAAAAAAAACTGTTGATATTCCCTTTCCCGACCTTACTTTTGTTCTTGATATAGATCCGGCTAGAACCAAAGCAAGAATTAATCAAAGAAAGCAAGAGACTGGCGAAGAACCAAACAATTGAGATAAATCCAATTGGGATTTTCATCAAAAAATTAGGAATGGCTATCTACAATTGAAAGAATGCTTTCCCGAAAGAATAAAAATTATTAACGCTGACCGATCTTTGGAGGAAGTAATTGGTGAAGTATATCAAATTATCATCCAGTTTTGTAAAAATGTTTAATTTCCCCACCCGGGAAAATTCTATTTTTTTGCTTAAATTTGCTTCTGCTTGTTGGTTTTATTCTTTTTTTAAATTTTTACTTTTCCCTCGCGGGGTAATTAATTATTTTGCTCACTTTTTTCGCAACTGTTGACTAGGATCATCATGATACAAGTAATTTTATTGGCTGGTGATTATATTGTTTTTGACGATAGTTTCAAAAGTAAGAAGTTGATTCATCTCATAATTAAATTTGCATTAAAAATTAAATATTATGAAGAAAAATGATAAAGACTTGGTAGAAAAATTGAATTGTGGGGGATTTTTTCACCAAAGAAAAAAACTGTCAAAAAAATAAGGAGATTGTTTAATAAAAGGTTATTTATTACTGTTGCTGGAACCTGGGGTGCCATAAGCTGGTTGGATTTGGAGGGGTTGTTGTTCTGATTGTTGCTGATTTTCTAGTTCTGCTACTCGCTGCTTAAGGGAAGTTAATTCTTGCTTCACTGAATCTAGTTCTTTTTTTAAATCGATTAATTCACTATTTTTAATCTTAGTAAACGAATAATCTTGCCCCAGCAAATGAGGTTGAATTTCTGACTCAACCTGCTTTTGCTCGACTGAAACTTTCTTCTCAAAAATATTAAGTTGGTCAATTTCAGCAGAAATTTCTAATTCTACCTCTTTAGAATTACCTAATATTCTAGTAATTTCCCTGGTTGGTAAAAGTCTACTATGATAAACTGCTCCTGAATGCTTTTTCTTTGTTAGGTCAGGATATTTAATACTATCGGATAAGTTTTTATTATATTCTTCGGCTTCTTGCAGTTGTTTGGTAAATTCTGTATTTTCCTCTTTATTAATTTCTTCTTGTCATTTTCTTAAAATCTTTTCTAATTCGTTAGCAGTTGGTCTTTTCCTCAGATCAGCATTTCAGCATTGCTTAATTAAGTCTTCTAATAACAAAGGGATTTTAATTTTAAATTCAGGTCGCAAGCCTTGACAAATTTTTATTGCCAGTTCTATATCATGATCCCTATCATAATAAGGAGGTAATCCAGAAAGTACTTCATAAGCCACAATACCAAAAGAATAAATATCGGATGCTTTGGTGTAGGGCTTACTTTGTAAAACCTCGGGAGCTACATAAGGCATTACTCCAAATATTTTGTCTTCTTTGTTTGTCTCGTTTGCTGGTTTACATAATCCTAAATCAGTAATTAGACAGCTAGTTTTCTCAATTCCTTTTAAGATGTTTCCCGAGTGGAAATCTCTATGCACTAAGTTTTTATTATGAATGTCTTTTAGTCCACAAGAAATATTAACTAATTGGTGAAGTTTATCTTGTAAAGTCAATTTTCGATTGTTTTTAACTAAATAATAACGTAAATCTCTTTCAGGAAAATATTTTATTACCATTAAATAATCTTTTGTTTGAGGATCTTGTGAAAGACCATAGCAAGGCACGATATTGTTAAATCAATCGTCAATGATTTTGTATTTTTCGGCTTCTTGAAGAAAGTCAGTATTGTTTAGGGAGTTAGTTAAACTTTTAAGAACGACTGCTTGGTAATTTTTGTATTTTTTATTTTGTTTACCTTCATCTTCATCGAATTCATCAGAAGAATAATCTTCTTTGCTTGATCTATCTTTGTATTTTTCCTGATGTCATTGTTTATTTTTATTATCTCAATGGTGAATATTACCAGCAACTCATTTGGCTTTATAAACTTTGCCAAAACCTCCTTCGGCTAAGTATTCTATATCCGTGAATTGCTCGTAAGGTATTCATTCTAATAATTTATCTTTATCCGTAGCTGCTAGTTGGCATTTTTGAAGGAATCCATCTATTTCTTTGTTGTCACTAGTTCAATTAATAAAAACTTCTTGAAAACGCTTTGTGTTGCAATTTTGACATCATCATCTTCCAGTATTTGGTTGGTCACATTCTCGGCACAAACCGTAGCTTTTAAATCTATCACTAAGGATTTGGTAGTCATCTTGATAATTGATAATTCATTCAGGTATTTCTTTTTTGGTATCTTTTAATCATTTAACAAATTTGTAATCATCTAATTGGACTCCAGCAGTTATTCATTGACTGATTTCTTTCCCCGTAAAGCCAAGTTTTATTCATTGGAGCTTTTGAGGAAAGTTTTTTATTTTTCTATATTCTGTTTCTACTATTCCTTGTTCATTAGCAAATAAGTTAAAAATGGCTTGGCATTTAGCATCTTTTCTTCTATTTGCTAAACAATAAAATTTTTCTAAACTATCTGGCAAATGTTCCAGTCCACGATCTGTATCTGTATTGCTAATATCTAAATTTTTTAATTTAGTTAATTTTTTTAGAGGCTCTAGCGAGCCAACCAAATGATTGTAGATGCCTCGGTTGATTTTATCGAAATTTCAATTACCAATATATAATTCTTCTAAATTAACTAAATGGCTAAATATTGATAAATTTTGTTCGGGAAAATTGTTGTTACCACAATAAATTTTTCTTAACTGCAAACAATTATCTAAGTTTAAAGAGGTTAGTTTATTGTTTAAACATCATAATTCTTTTAAGTTAATAAAGTCAGATAAATCTAAATTTCCAGTAAGTTTTTTTCAGCCAATACCTAATCTCTTTATTTTTTTTCTTTGCCTTTGGGGATACTCTTTGTCTAAAAAAATTTTAGTAAATTCTGCCCTTAATCTTTCCAATTTTAGTTCCTGATTAGGTTGATAACCTTTTTCTCTTAAATAAGCAGCAAATTCATGATCATCCGATTCTAATCCAATATCCATTCAGTATTTAGTTTCTTGAGGAGTAAAATTATGGTTTTTTCATTGTCTAATTGAATAACTATCATCTGGTTTAAATCCTGCCTGGATTAATTTTGGAATACCTTGGTAAGTAGGGGTTTTTTCTTCCGGGAGTTGTTGGTGGGTTTTGTCATCTTTATTTTCTTTTTGAGAAAATTGAGGAGAAGTTCAACAATCCCAACATTGAATGGGGGTTTCCATTTTGGTTCTAATTTCTCGGCAAACCTCTTTAATGCTTTTGATTGCTCGACCTTTTTTGAGCTTTTGACAAGAATTTTTGGGAACAGAAGTTGACTGGGAAACAGCTTCTTCTTGCTGAATTTGAGTTTGATACTCGGTCATTATTCTTTTCCTCCTTCCTTATTTTTAGTAAGGAAATAAACAACTATTCCTACTAAACCAACTAATCCAATCCCTCCTAAAATCCAAGGTAGGTAGTTCTTTGGTCTGCTAGAGTTGCTCTCTCTCTCTCTCTCTCTCTCTCTGGTAAAGACTATCATTTTTGCTTAATGATTGGCTTTGAGTTTGCTTGTTTTGACTAACTTCCCAGCAATTTTTATGAAAATAAGACTGATTATGTTCTTCTACTCCTTCTGGGATAAATCTATCACCTCAATCATTATTTTTGACTGTTATAGTTTTGCTACAAGTTGGACACGAGCTGGCAAAATTAATATCTCAAGCATCTTTAGCAGACTGACAATAATTATGCCTTGTATCAGGAGAACACTTTTTCTCTGTTCTAAGAGTATTTTCTACCTCTTTTAAATAAGCTTCTAATTCGGCTTTTTTCTTAACTTCTCAATTTTCACATTTGGCTAATTCTTTTTTAGTTTCTTCCAAAGCCTCAGGTGCATCACAAGCTTTGCAGCCTCTTGGTGATATATCTCATTTTTTATTCATATTATTCAATCATTCCTTTCAAAACTTCTAATCTACTAATTAACTCCTTAGGATTAATAGCTGGTTGTTGGAGATGTTTGATTAATTCATCTAATTCTTTAATTACAGCTGACTTATTCATAATATATAGTTTTAATTCAATTTTAGCTATATCATAATTTTTTAAAGACGATTTTCTAAAAGTTCTTTTAATTCCTTGATTTGCTTTTTTAATTCTGGTTTATTCATAATAATTATCTCTCATCTTCATTCTCTTTTTCTTTTTCCTGCTCCTGCCGTTCTTGCTCTTGTCTTTCTTTTTCT